AGATGGTGTCAAAATTTAGTTTATAAATAATATAATTATATTCAGGCAAAGCTCAAATTATAATATTAAATTTAAGTTTTGCCCAGTCAAAACTCCAATTTGAGTTTTGCCTAGGCAAATTTAAAATTTGCCTGAATTGGAGTTTTGCCTACAACATATATGCAAAAATAAATTACTCTGTTCTCCTTGATCTTTGATTAAGTTTTTTGAAATGCTCTCAGGAAAAACAAACAAAGGAACAGAATGTGCGGTATTACTAACTTTTGACTTAAGGCTTAAAATTGCTAAAAATTCCTTTATTAATAACTGTAAGGATAATTACCTTTAAGCAGTATTTTAAAACGGTTTCAGTTTATTTTGTGTCTTGTATCAGAAATATGTTTAGAAGTTGCTGCTTTCTTTTCTTTTACAATCATAGAAGCAGAGGACAAGTTGTCCTCGTGAGAAAGTGATAAATTAGATACAATTTTCAGGTGACCCGACAATTCGTCTTAGTCTCTTTTGTCTCTGACAATTCGTCTCAGTCTTTTGGTTTCAGCGACAATTCGTGTTAGTCTTTCATATATCCGACGATTCGTCTCCGACAAAGCGTCACACAATATTCGTCTCATACGTAGAAGACAGACTGTTCATGACATAGTAACATTCTCTGTGAGACGCCTAAATTGTCTAATTATACAGCTGAGACGAAATGACGAACGGACAAATTTTCCGTGAGATAAATTGTCAGGGACGAATATTATGCGAGACTAACAGACTGAGACTTTTGAGTATAAATGTTATTTTTTTAAATATTTTGGGTTAATTTAATGTTACGAGTTTATTTGGTATTAGTTCCGATGTTTTAGTTTACGATACTATACCTCTCGACCATAAAAGTCGAAAATTCCAGTTAAACGTAAATTCAGAACAAAAAGAATAGCTGTGATAACTAACATTAGCATTTATTTCGAAAATAATCTCAGTATTCCATGCAAAAATCTAGTCATATAAGAAAACTTCCTTTCGATATTTCTGATCGAGCTGGACTATGATTACTCAGAACGGGATATTTATCTTCCATTATACATCCTGCCAAGCACTGTTGTTCATCACACTTTTCATCTGAATCATCGATGACCAACCACATTGAATCCTTATGTCGATTCAGAAATAACCACTGATTATTATTGCTAAGTGGAAACAACTCTGAGTCGCAATCGTGTGTAGCATTTGCTTCATCCAAAGCTGAGCCATGACTCATTTGTTTCATATTAAAATCAAACGTATCACAATGCCAAGTGCCATCTTTACTAAGGGATGCCGTCACATTGTTCATCGCTTTAATCGCTTTAACGCTTTCTATATTTGATAGATTTATTCACAGAAACGAAAAAAGAAAAGTAAGAAACGATAGAGAGTGAACCAGAGATTTTTTTCCTAAAATAGAAGAAGAGAACAGAAAAGAACGATATAACGTTGATATATGAGATATACGATAGATATTGCTTCTAAGTTTGAAATTTTTTTTGCTTTTGATCTAAATGTTCGCTGCACTCACTATAAAATTACTCTATATTCTGTGAACTTAACAGATTAAAATAAAACTAACTAGAATGTACACCTCTTCGTTTTCTATGTCAGTCTGACGTACGCAAGATATACTATACGTCGAGCCATCTTTTAGAAAAGGGTACAGTCTACTTTATGAGATACAGAGCTGTCAATAACGGAGCTGAATATGAGACATAGATGTACTTTCTCTGCCAATTAACAAGCGAAATCATTTGTTAAGGAGTTCTTGACTAGCATGACTTTCCGGCTTTCTCTTGGGGTCATGGTAGTCTTAATTCTGCATCCTATATTCTGCCAACTTCCAGAATAATAATTAAATTAACTATAGGGGATCCATTTTCACTTCTATATAATCCACGCAC